CTGTTCTACACCTAGGAGGTAACTGGCTACCTTACCATCAAGGGTAACAATCATAGATTTATGGCAATTATCAAAACAATTAGGACAATTAGGACAAGCATACTAAATTATATATAAAAAATAGCGAAGTCATGTTACACAAATATCATTTACAAAAATCGAATATAAATCACATCTGCTTCGGTATTATAAAGCAGAATAAAATGACATCTAGGCATAGAAGAAATAATAAAAAGAAAAAAAGAAAAAATATAAACACACAAAAAAAGGGGGGAAATAAACCAGGGAGTTCAACCCTCCCGTCATAAAACACCAACATGATTTATAAAGCATCTATCACGCCAGTATATAGCAGCCAGGGGGACCATATTGACTCAAATCTCCGTTCCATGTCATGGAGAATACTATGCATCTTCTCGTGTATCATTATCCACCACATTTTTTATTTTAATTGTTTAAAAGAAATCTTTGGTGACTTCCAGGCTTTAGCTATAGTAATTTTAGCTGCCAGCATAAAAAAGGAAATTCATCTATCCTGGGCTTTAGAGGGCCCTGGAATAGGGCGATTCAACAAAACATACTGACCATCTCTTGGTACACGAACACCCATAACTCTATATGTAAGAGCAAAAAGCCTATTCCAGAAGGATCAAAGTTTAGGGCATTGCCACCATACGTGATACATAGTGCCAGAATGTGTGCAGCCCCTACAACAAGCAGAAGAGACATCCGGGTAGATCTTAGCCAGCCTGGAAAGGACCATATATCACTGGGATATTACTTTATAATTCTCTTCTATCAAATATATATTAAGCATTCCAGAAAATACCCGAGAACAGCAATGTTGCCAGACTTCCATAGAGATATCAACCTCCAGATCTCGTTCCCATGCTAACATGTAAGGCAATTTCACAACCGAATCCACACAATGGGAATAGAGTAAGGAAATACCACCCCTCTGGCCCCCATCTTCCAGGCACCACTTCTCATATGCGGTTTCAAACGGACTGTCCTGATCAGTCATCTGTAAAGAACCAAAAAAGTGTCTCAATTGCCTAAATCAGAACAGTTCAGAGGGCGGCATATGTAAAATAGTCTGATAGTACCTTGAGGTCAGAGGTTTACGTTCCCGAAAGTACTGTGATATATACGATAGAGACCCTTGTCCTGCCACCAGCAAAACGTACCATATTGCCCGCCAGGAAAGAAACTAGGTTTGCGGAAAATAGGTGTCCTGTGTGCCTGATCTGTGTGTGTGTGTGGGCAGTGGAAGAAGTGGGTACGCCAAGGTTCTAGCTGAGAGGATAGCTTGGGGAATCTAAGTGGGCATGAGAAAACCACTTAGCATGCCACACAGCCATTAGATTGCATTACACAAGATTGCATTCAAGATTTGCATCTGCCTGTGCGTGTGTTTAGCCAGCTTGAGTTGGGTGAGTCTCCCTCCAGTGGTGACTAGCGGTAGTGCAGGGGACAGCGAGTGGGGGTACTAACTCAAGGTAATTGTGCCTGGTTTATCTGACCTGTACCTACTAGTGAGAGCAGTGTGTGTGGTCTGTGAAGCCTGTGTGCTTAAGTGCATAGTGTACGAACCAGGAGTGTCCGGGAAAGATTCCCCACGGGCCTGTAATTTGAGGGTGGTGGCAGTTGAGATTAGTTCATTTGTGTATGCGTTTTGTGTTTTACGGCCGCACCGTCACACCTGCGGACTGGGAGGCACTCTGAGGGTTCACTGATAATGCGAAGGACGGCGATAGCCTGTGTATCTTTTGGCCCTTCCCGCATCTCTGTACTCCTTCGGTGCCCCACGGTGCCCGCTGTTCATGACAATACCAAGGATTTTCAGAGAAAACCAGTGCCAAAATATGTCTGGTTAAAGTGTTTTCTTGAGGAGCGTGTCCGTATGTGTTCTCAGGAGCTCCGCTGCATTCGCCTTAAAATACGCTTTTTATCCTGCTCACGACGTTGCTGTTTACTTACTGTGGTCTCAGTGTGTGTATCCCGTAGATTCTGCTATGCCGTCTAAATTGGAAAGGCGCATGGAAACACGGAGGAAGGGGCAGGGGAGTCCTGCTCATCCCGCCATGTGCTATCCTACCACCATCTTGCCCTCCGTGCCCGTGGTCTGCTCGATACCAACGCGTGTCATGGAGGACGGAGACCAGGCTGCCGAGGGGGGTTCTTCTGCTTCACGTGAATCCTCTGATGCTACGACTGGCTCAAAGACCATCCTTGATACCATAGCGGGGTGCAGGTAGCGGGTGACACCCCGTAATCGCGTACGCACATGACTGCTGTTACCTCCCGGCGACCATCTTGGTGATGGACGCCGGAAGAGAGAGGAGGGGACGTGCCACCGAGTCACCTCCTCTCTCTCTCTCTGGAGCAACTGACGAGCTCTCGTTCCATGACGGAGTGCCTGACTTTTCAAAGGGGGTGACACAAAATGACTGTCAGTCATTTTTGTGTCACCCCTCCAATGGTGTCACCCGGTTGTGGGCCTTACCCCCCTTGTGACGCCACTGGCCAAGGTAGATGATGTGGAGAAAGAGCTTTAGTATTTAACTATCTGAAGCAACTTAAACCCTATATTATTTTCTTGCAGGAGACTCAATTGGGAGGGGGGTAGAGTATTGGCGCTGAGATGTCCCTGGATTCAGAGAACGGTTCATGCCATTTAATCAGCCTATGCCCGGGGTGTCTATGTGTTAATTAGTAAATCCCTCCCATGCACTATTCTGCATACGGTTGTTGACCCTGGGGGCAAATTTGCCATTGTGATCCTTGATATTCAAGCTACTGTGCTGGCTCTCGTAAATGTGTATATACCTCCACCCTTTCAGATGCAGATTTTATTTTGATGTGTTAGGTAAGCTGGCATCCTACCTTCCTCTGCCTGTCCTCATTGCTGGTGATTTCAACAATATCTTAGATCCCTCCTTAGACTCCTCCAACCAGGCCAGGTGCCTGGTGCTGGGCTTCAATCCTGTGCTGGGACAGCAATGGTTGAGGAGGTGTGGTGCTGGAAGCTTCCTAGTGTTCAGGCTTATTCCCACCTGTCTCACACTCTTTGTTTCTCAGCCCGCTTGGTCATGGCTTTTGGTAATCAGACTACAGTATGATGGGGCTGGTGTCCGGTGCCTCATATTTACCTGGGGGGCTAACATGTCCTGCTAACAATAACATTTTCTTTGCCGGAAAGGCGGAGGTCTGGGTGTTGGAGATAGTCTCCTGGATGGCTGAGGGAGGAATGGATGTCGGCGAGAGTGACTCCAGCGATGGACTCATTCTGGCTTACTATTGGCGGTTCTACTTCGGCTCCAGTGGTGTTGCATGTCTTTAAGGCTTATGTCAGAGAATTTATTTCTAGCATTAAGGCTGTTCGTATGGAGCATAGTGCAGTTCTTACTGAGTTGCAGAATGCGGGGCTGCATGTGCCTCGGCCTTTGGGGACTCCCCTGGGGAGGGTGCACTTACTGCGCTTCGACAGGCCAGGTGCTCTCTGTATCTTCACCATGTGGAATTGAAGCAGGAGTCTAATGAAGCTAAATTTGAGTAAGGTAAGAAAAATGGAAAACTCCTGACTATGTTGGTAGCGGAACAAAGAGCTCAAACCAATATCCCCTGCGTTCTTAATGGTTCTGGTGCTCGGGTTACTGACCCGTCCCTTATCCTACAAGAGTTTGGGGATTATTATCAGTCTTTGTATTCTCACGTCCCTGAATATGAACTGAGCCGGTGCTGGGGAGAGCTGACAGGGAATATCTCGATGCAGATATCTCCAGTCAGGAGGTTCGGGGAGCGAGTACCTCGTTTCCTAATGACAAGTCTTCTGGGCAGCAGAGTGGTATAAGCTGCATGTGGATCTTCTTGCTCCCCGGCTCTGAGACTTGTACATACACTTTCTGGAATTGGGAGTGATTCCTTTAAAGATGCCCATGTCGTCCTGCTCCCCAAGCCTGGCAAGGATCCAGTTGTATTCTCCTCTTATAGGACTATAGGCTTTAAGCTGCAATCCAGCTCCTGTTCTGATGACAACATCAAGACCCATACTAATACAGCTGACCGATCAATAATCACATCAGGAACTCCGTTAACAGTGAAAGACCTATGAAGCTCATCAGAATCATCTGAACCAGCTATCATGCAAAAATATTGTTTTCTTTGCATGCTGAAAGCAGAGCCTTCTAAAGATTGAGTTTCTTCCCTCAGCTAAAGAGACTATACTACTTCCACACACAGGGACCTTGCAAGCTTTGCTACCCTTGACGAAGTGACCTGATGTCTTCATGGACTGTCTCCACTACTTTTGTTGTTATCTATTTACCAAGATTATTACTGTATAGGTTAAATCTATAAATTAATGTTGGTGAACATAACCTATATTAGCTTTAATTCTACATTTATGTAAGTGGTCACTGGTAGAATATAGGGTAAACAAAATAACAATAAACTGGCTTCTTTAAAAAGTCAGAATATGTATTTCATTTATCATAAAGAATAACTCCACAAAGAGAAATTAAACCGTAAAAGCAAAAAAATATTGTCCTAGAGTTTTAGGAATACATCTCTGACATGTTGAAAAGAACCTTTGATGATTTTTCAAACTGCCAGCAAGGTACGTTTCACTGTGGTGAAGCACCACAAGTTTTGCCTTTTCCTCAACTACGCCACAGAGGAGTTTGATCTTTCATTACCTCACAGGAGAAGCTAAACTTTACATACTTACAGCATTTAAGGGAAACATGATTTTAAATTAGATTAAAAGGTGTGCGCTAGTGTTTTACATTGATGTTTCAGATTTTCCTTTGTGTAATTCTCCTTTTAACATTTTTGCCTGCAGTGGGCAAATTGCACATCATCATGCTGCAGTAATAGGCTTGTTTTTCAGGCCTAGACATTTTTGTGTGGTTGTTGTTTGCCCATATACAAGAAGAGGTCAGTCAAATTAGTTCAGCTGTAAATAAATTATTGTATATGAAAAACATCAAACAGCAGCTGCTATTTTTTTATTGTAGCTTAATTTTACTTAAGCAAAAATACACTGTAGAATTATTGGAATATATTTATAATTGAAATTGTATGAACATTAAGTGAAAACATTTATTGGATTTGGCATTATACAGTCAAATACAAAGGATTTATTTTTCATGACTGGTTTGTTTCTTCTGAGGACATTGGCGAGGACAAGTTATCCAGTGCTCCGGACTCTGGAAATAGAAATACATTCACATTAATTTATGGAAAGTTCAGCATTGACAATGTACTTACTAAATATATTGACCAAAATGTTAGTATCAGGCTTAAATTAATCAAGGAATTTCTGGTGTATTTGCTGAATTAAACTTCATTGTTTAGTATAATCTTTATTTGAAGTATATCAAACCCTTTTTTATCATTTTGGATAGAGTAGGGAATGATTTGAACCCCTAAACCCCTGTTGGTATTTATTGTGCCTGTGTTGTCCATGTGTCCCATTGGAGAGGTATTTCCCTTCAATTCAAGCCAAGGAGACATGACAGAAAGCAAGAGGAACACTCTCCAAAGTGAGAGAAATCCTCTATTGGACAGTTGTTACTGCAACAAGTGCCCATGCCAAAATTTGCCCTCTATTCCTGTTCTGAAGACAACTGTAAACGTGATGTTCTGGTTATAATGGTCACCTGGACAAAAAAAGAGAATAAATATTCCCAGCTGAGACACAGACAACAAAAAAACCTAATAGAAGTTTTAAGCCTTCCCCACTCCATCCAAAACTAAAGATAGGTTTTGGTTTTAGATACACATAGAATAGTCTTGATTCCTTATGCTGCAACAACACTTAAACAGTGCTTTTGCTATGCCAAGAAAATTTTAGTGCTATTTAAGCTTGCTGTATTAAGGCTTATTTCAAGAATGGCATCTTGGGTAGGGTGGGCTGAGTCAGTTGCTTATTCCCTAAATTCCTTGTATACTCCAACATCAATATCTTTCTGTCATAATCACTGACCCAGTTTCTGTTCATCTAAGAGTTCTGAGTACATGATGTTAATCCAGGTAGGGTGGGATCCATTCAGAAAAGGACGGCCCGGTCTCTGTCCAGACCTGCTCTGCCTCCCACCCTCTGCCTCCCACCCTCTGCCAGGAGCTAAGGCTCCTGATGTGATGGGGAAGGGGGGACTGAGAACAATGTAAAGAGGGCTTCTGATATAAAAAGGGGCTCTGATGTGAAGGGGGGGGGGGCTCTTATGTAAAGAGGGGCTTTGATGTGAAAGAAGGGGCTCCTAATGTAAAGGAGGCTTCTAATCTGAAAGGGGGACTCTGATGTGAAAGGCCGGTGCTCTAATACGAAAGGGGATCCTAATGTAAAGGGGATACTCTGATGTGTTCTTTGTGTGGGGTTCAAAATATACCTGCCTGTATCTTGGATAAGGCTCCAGGATTGATCTTGAAGAGATGATGAGACTTTTTTACATTTATGACTGGGTGCATAGAGATTTTTCATACTTTTAAAGGGTGCCGTGACTGAAAACATTTTGAGAAATGCTGTTCTATTGTATTGTCCATAATACAAAATAAATTACAAACCCTTCAGGGAAAATGGAAACCCCTTGTAATAGCCACTGCAGGTGTGCCAGGGCCATCTTTAAGGTGGGGCAAAAGGGACCGTTCCCCCGGGCCCAGTCATTGTTGTGGGGCCCTGTACACTCATAAACTACTACTAGTTTATGACTACTGTACTACCCGCCTTTGCCGCACTGTCCCATCCCGACCACTAGAGGGCAGCAGCCACCTGTTCCCATGTGCATCTGCAATCTCCGCAGCCCAGGATGTCACCTCTGACTCAGTCAGTGGAGGAGGATGGATTGTTCCCTGCACACTGCCGCACGGTCCTAACCTCCCCCCCTCCATGGCTGCAGCCTCAGCCACACCCTACTCACGGTGAGTCCTAATGGCTGCTGGGTTGAGTCCCTATTGTGGGGAGGGGTCAACAAAGAGGGTGGGGTGTGGCATCTCAACTTCATATGTTGTCACTGCAGCCATCACAACAGCTCAGGGTGGGATGTCATCTCCATCATCTAATGTGTCATAATTACCTCATCATCCATCATAGTGGCTGTCTTTGGATGTGGGATAGAGGGACAGACTGGGGAGGGGGCAGGCACAGCTGGCTCTGGCTCCAGAGAGGCAGAGCCAGCTGTCAATCACGTATCGGGTGGACCCCTGACAATAATGGTGGGATCTTTCCCAGCTGCAGTGTGGCTCTGTGCTCTCAGCATATAGCGAGCAATATTGCATGGCGGGGGCAAGATTTCATGGTGGGAGCCGGGAGAGTAGGGGACGGGATTGAGCGGGGATTTGGCAGGTAGGGGCTGGGGCATGGCAGAGGGGGGAAAAATGTTTGCCCAGGGTCCAATTAATATAAAAGACGGCCCTGAGGTGTGCAGACATCAACAGAGTCCCCAATAAATGTAAATGATCAGGTGGTTAAACCCTCTAGCATCTACCAAATTCTGAACTATGATATTAGAAGAAGCATCCACCTATGCTGACAAAAATGCATATTTCACTTGGCCTTCATAAGTAGCATGGAAGATATTGATATGCAAGCTTATATGAAAGTGAACCTGTGATTTGCTTATGCGGGGAAAAGCAATCTGTTTGTTTTAATGCCAGCCAGTTGCTTATCTTGCCCTCACTCTGCCATGTGTACCCTACTAGTCATGACTTTGAGTTTACACAGAGCTTAAAAACCCCTCTCTACCACCATGCAACAGCACTGTGTGCCATTTGCCAGGTACCTGTTGTGTTACGAGGGAAGTGGGAGGAAGAGGAGAGAGTCACATGCTCTCTCCATATACCGAACAGTATTAGGTATGCCACTTCCTTGACCAATTAAAGTGACATTAAACCCTCAGATTTTTTTACATAAAACAATACTGTAATGTGTGCCTTACTGTAATCCATGGTTGTTTCCCTTCTCTTTGCTGCTCTTCTTTTTAAATCTGTATCTGTTCTCATGCTCTGCAGAACTTCTGTTTTGCAGCAGACTGCCTTGTCTCAGGAATGGATACACGGTGTCTATGTATAGATTTGTATAGGCTTGAAACCTGAGCCAGCACTACAGGAAGAGGCCCTGAGCTGAAAAGGGAAGTTCTCCCCCAGCATGAGAAGACATGAGGATTTAAAAGGAAGAGCAGCAAAGAGAAGGGGAACTACCATGGATTACAGTAAGGCACACATTAAGTATTGGTTTATGTAAAAAAATCTGAGGGTTTAAGGGACCTAAGCACTCTCTCGTAATTAGAAAGGACTGTCACCAGTGTAGCCCAATGCCATAGCTGTACTTGTGCCATAATAATCTGTCATCATACGCCAATCAAATGGTGGCGCTGAACATGGGATCTTTACATTTGCAACGGCTCCATTTATTGAGCTGACAAATTGCCTTTTCACTGTTTAATATGTCACAACGTTATTTTTGTGAGTCAAAATGATTAGATATGTGAATGGCCGTAGCCATGGCCTATTGATCTATACTTCCTTTGCTAATTGTTAAGTAACCAGTATAAAATTCTTACCTTTAAGATGTAAATATGTTAAAAATTCAACCAGTGTGCGCAGAACATTATCGTCGGACAAGGTTCTATAAAAATTTCCTAGGAAGACATAAAAATATTGCCTTAAAAATTTTAGTAATTAATAAGTAGTTTGTGTAAGTCATTTAAAATGTATGCTTTTCTACATTTCCTGATGGTTCTATGGGCAAATGATAAACACAACTTTAAAGGCGTGCACTTTTAAAATCGTAATGCCTTGTTCCAGCAGATGTATTTAAAACAAAGGCTTGCATTTAACTCTTTTTGGGGTTGATTTACTGAAGACAAATAGGCTGCTCAGGCTGCTCATTTTTTCTATTAACTTAGTGAATGTGGTGAAAATTTACTTGTAAATAAAAACCCAATCATGTGCAAGGAAAATTTTAAAAAAGTATATATTCCAGTCTTTTAATTATCCAGTCATGTTCAAGGAGCAGTCATCTGTACTCATTATGATGGCTTCAAGAGTACAAGTACTGCAATAATGCCTTTTTTTTTTTTTTTTTTTTTTTAAAAAGGATCAATGATCCCTGAGGGATCTTCGGTTCACTAATAATTCCTTTTTTTTTTTTTTTTTTTTTTTAAAGAGCATCAGTGCAGATCTGGAATAAACATTGTAAATATTTTGCATGTCTGAATTAAGTTGTTTAAAAGTATTTTCTAAAACAAAATTATGAATTACAGGTGTGATCACTGATTTCTAACAGGATGACTATTTTCATATTGACTTAAAAGTCAAACTAAAATGAAGGAAACGGCTATTGTGTCATGATAATTAGTAACCACGAGAACACAAACCCTGGGACAGCTCTCGAAAAGACCTTTTGTATGTGATTTGCATTTATTGTGGTAATAACGAAGAGGTGCGTGGATAATGTATACATGTGCACATTTTCATTACTCACATTGTAGGCTTTCTTTATTTTTGTATGAAGGTTTTATTAGCCCTGAAGCCTGAAAATTAAAAATTTTCTTAACAGGAAATTCAGTCAGAACCAGGGTGTGAGACAGTGGTCATCTCTCCCATTCACTCTCCTATTCACTATAGCCCGTACAGCTCCCAAACATGGCCGAGCGGCTCGGCTGCCAAGGAGAGAAACACTGCTTTTTTCTTTTTTTTTTCTTATTCTGACACAGAGCCGTGTCAGAATAGAAAAAAAAAGAAAACATTTTTGCCCATAGGAATGCATTGCTAGATTCCTATCGGCTATTTCAATATGCAATAGCCAATAGCAAACTAGCATTGCACGCGCAGTTCTCCATCAGGTCCATCACTACTGATTGACAACAGCAGTTTGCTAGTTTGCAATTGGCTATTGCAAATTGAAATATCCAATAGGAACCTAGCAATGCATTCCTATGGCCAAAAATTATTATTTTTTTCTATTCTGACACGGCTCCATGTCAGAATAAGAAAAAAAAAAGAAATAGCAGTGTTTCTCTCCTTGGCGGCCGGGAGTGGGAGACTGCCGGAGCGCCCGGGAGAGTTAGGCTGTTGGGCGGAGCTAGCTGTCATTGCTAGCTCCGCACAATCGTTTTCTATTTTTATTTTTCTACTTTTTTAACTGTTTTTCTGTTCTGCTCGGTCCTACAGAGAGACCGAGCCAAACAGCGGAGAACAGCGCTCGGCGGCATTCGGCTATTCACTCACTACTGTTCGGCATCTATGAGAATAGACCGAACAGCAGCGAGTAACCTGCCGGAGGTTCGGCTCAGCCGATCCAGATGTTGGATCGGCTGAGTCGAACTCCTTCTGCACTTCGAGTAGGCCGAACATGCTGAGCATGTTCGGCCGACCCAAAGCCACCCGATGTATGGCTGATTTCAGCCGATATACGGCTAAAATCAGCCCTACCAGCCTGAAGTGAATAGCCGAACAGCGTTCGGCTTACTTCGCTTTAGGTCGGTCATTCAATCGGCTGCCTACGGCAGCTTAGTGAATAGACCCCACAGTATTTCAAAGCAAAAAAGAACAAACATATTTGGTACATCTCTGGAATGCATGCACATTTCTCCAAGTTGTATCTCTTTAAAAAAGCAGCAAGTACAGAAATATAACTGTTGAAGTAGCAGAAATATAGTGTGCTCTTCAATTCCTGTTTAACATTACAGCACAGTTTTGAATTCCTAAGCATGTGCTGTCAGCCCTGCCTATTTCCTTTCTGATAGATTATAAAGGACATAGAACTCTTCTCATCCCCAATACCTCTCCTGGTGTACAGGAAGAGTGCACAGGAAGAGAGCACAGGAAGTTATCAGCTGATTTCTGGCAAAGTCAGTAGGTATAGTCAATGTAAACTAGAGTGGAAATTAACTGTACTGTGTAAAGGGATTTTCTGACCATGGCACTCAAAAATACATACCATATTTAAAAGTTACAAATGTTTAATAACAGACTTATGTCTGAATACAGTACATATTACTGAGTGCTATGGTCACAAAAGTCCCTTTAATACAGTTCTTCTCAATGGGAGTTATATCCATAGTTTAGTTTGACTATGTTTGCACTTATTGAGCCAATATAACAAAACATGCAATGGTATATTAAGCAGACCAAAGGAAGATATGTTCATTGTTAGGGTTTATATACGCTTTAAGGGCTGAGTGTAAGTTGGGCAGATCAACAATTATTTTTCTGCACTTGCAGAGTATTTATAGTAATAAAAAAAAGGAATAAAACATAGGGAAATGTGCATGTATTGTAGAGATATGCTAAACATTTTTACCTTTACCATGTGCTTTAATTAAATCCATGATGAGTTAAAAAAAAAAGATAGGAATTTTCATTACGCATGACATGAATACAAAGTTTACTCCTAGAATACATTTACTCTAGTGAGTTCTCTTACAACTGTCAATAAGGTAAAGTAAAAAAATACTAAAGATTTTCACGGATGTATACATTGCATGACTTACTTAAGTCAACCTTGTCAGCCATTTCAAACAATTGAAAGTCAAAGTTTTATGTAAGTGCAGACACCACAAAATACCTTTTTGACTTCTGGCCTAGGCCCGCCAACTGGCATTTTCCAAGAATAGCACCTCAATGGCCAGAAAGAGCAATCTTAAAGGAGAACTATGGGGTTAAGGCTTTTCCCCATAGTTCTCCTTAGGGTAACGGGAGGACACAAACTAGCGTCCTCCCGTCACCCTAGGCTCAGTATACCGCGAGCTGTAGCTCGCGGTATACTCAGATGCCGCAGTATGAAGCGGATCCCGACAATTATGTCTGGATCCGCCCAGCTGCGTGACTGACAGCTGGCTCTGCCTATCTAGAGGCAGAGCCAGTTGTACCCGCCCCCTCCCCCTCCGTTCCGCCAGTCAGCACTGGCGGATCGGAGCGGGGAAGGGGGAATCCACCCCCTCCGCTGTCACGGCAGAGAGCCGTGACAGGATCGAGAGGTGAGTGAACGCCTGTATGTGTTAGCTCACCTCCCGATCTACTGAGCCGACCTGTGACAGTTTAATTGTCACAGGTCGGCTAGAACTATGAGGTGAGTGAAAAGCACTCACCTCATAGTTCTCCTTTTAATAGACAGGGGAATGTCAGTTGGGGGAGACTGAGAATTGTTTGGCTAACAAAAGTAAAGCTGGTACCTTTTGGTACCATCGGCAGAACTTGCATCAGATATATTTTTTATTGCATGTTAATTGCATGCTAATTAATGTAGAAGTAGTCCTCTTAAAATGTTATTATCTCTCACAGAAATCACAACATTCCCCCCTTACAGGTTCACTTTAATAACATGGACTAAAGAATGCTGGATGGAAGTAATGTACTTCGACCAATCAGAAAGTATTTTCAGTAGTTTATGTTGATGGATTACTAAAATCTATATTTTCTAGCTGGTTGCTATGAATTACTGATATGGTTATTAGGCAAACCCATGCATATTCTGGCAATGGAAAAACGTAACAGTAGTAAATTCAGACAGATAACAATGCTCCTTCTTTATAAAGGTCTGCCCAATGCATTTACAATTATGATAACTATTACCTGACTTTATATCCTCTTCTGGCTGTAGCTCACGTTTTCCAGCATATCCATGTTTGTCATTAAATGATCTATGATTATCTATTGCATCTGGTAAATTAAATTAATAGGAGAGGTTATGTCATTTGCCTTCCGCGTAGCTTTGTACAAAACAGTGTACTGTGATAAGGATGTGGCATAATTACTGTAATGATTCCTATAATGAAACATGCATTGTATAGTAGATTCAATTTCTAGAGTGAACAAAACATGGATACAATTAGAGTATCATACAAGAACTTGTAAAAGGTGCATTGCATATTTTGGGAAAGAAAACAAAGCTCTTCAGATGCTCAATAAACAGTACATTTTCTATTTTATGCACAAAATGAGACTTGTAGAGAACAGTAGCCTGTAATATACTACAACATACATGTGCTTATTATGCCTTTACATTGTGTGTTGTATCTGAATTCTTCTAATGAAAACCTGAACAAAATTCATCACCAAGTGTGAATGTATAATGGAAAGCTATGCTGAAACATGTTTTGGCCTTTGGGTGGCCTTTTTATATAATATACGTGTCTAATTACACTGTAAAATTATATTCCTAATTCATTAGTTAATGTACAGTCAAACTAGGTCAAACATATTATAAACAAAGTCATTCATAAAGTGTTTCCTTTAACCCAGTACCCCCTTGTCCCCCCTTCCCCAGCAGTACATACTGACCTTTATTTCAACAATTTAAACAACTCAAAGCATTGTATATAAATGTATATTTCCTACGAATGACAGTATTTCCCCACAACTACCAGTCAGGTTCAGAATGTCAGGGCAACTCTGATGCTGATCGGTGGCTGAGAAGAAGTACATCTAATTTCTAATAACAAAATGTTGATACAAAAGGACCTTTTATATGAAAACAAAAAATATTGTTTGGTTTTTAGAAATAAAGCTTTCAAGGCAGAGAGTTTGCAAGTGTTGAGACTCAGTAGAAGCCATTCCTGAATGCAAAGTTTAAGTAGAACTATGGGCAAAACTCTTTTTTAGTTTTAGAGGAAGAGGGATTAGAACACCTAGCAGGTTTTATTTGCTGTTTATGTCCTTGTTAGGGAGATTCACAATCCCTATTTGTCTTGGTAACCATTGTGACGACATGGTGATCAGTTTATAAGTTAAATGTGTATTGGTGTTGAGTTATGTTTGAGTGCGTTATGCTGTGTGACCTGGTTATGGAAAGACTATCAGCACCACCCCTCGTTATCTCCTATTGTCCTATTGAGGGAGCTCAGAACAATGACATTCTGGCCAGGCTCTTACTATGCTGTGTGACCTGGTTATGGAAAGACTATCAGCACCACCCATCGTTTTCTCCTATTGTTCTCTGAGGGAGCTCAGAACAATGACATTCTGGCCAGGCTCTTACTATGGCTGTCTGGAGCTCGTTAGCAGGTGGACACCTGTGGTGTTATGAAGACAGAATGTCCAGGGGGGGGACAGGGGCTGTGATGGGATTATATTCTGATCTGATCACTTTCTGTATAAAAGTTTGTGCAGTTGTTCAATAAAGCAGTTTGTTTACCCTACACTCAAGCCTTGGCTAGTGACTGGGGAAACTGGGAGCTACAGATCTTCAGGTTCCAATATCTCCTGAGCAAGGAAGAAGACAGCGGCGGACATACTCATCCTGAGTACGGGGGTCCGTCACAACCATTATCACTGAGAGTGAAAGTAAACCCAAGGCCGGATTTCCCACAAGGCCACATGGGGCGGCAGGGAGCTTAGAGGTGGCAGGGATTCCTATCACCTGACGCCTGGGACATGAAGTTCCGAGTGCCGGATGGGTAGCTGTTTTCTACATTTAGCTCTGCTTTGGGCAAGCAGAGCTAAATGTAGAGCGGGGAAGCGGCTCGTTCGTATACAAGTGATTTTGGCAATGTCACCGAGATGCAGCCTGATCGTCCGTCCTCCCATACTGCCTCCCCCCCCACCCTACCCCTGGCTACCTTTCTCCCCGCCGGCCGGAGATCCTCTCAGGATTGAGAGCGGGCCTGAGAGCGGGGAGCAGAAGGGAGAACTGAAAACCACAGTGCTGTGCTAGATGCATTGAGGAACCTGGCTTTGGGGCAGCAGAGAGAGTAAATCCAGCCCCGAGTACACCCTGTATCTTGAGTTGGCACCTGAACTGGAATAGAGGGAAGGGGAAACAACAACCTGGGATTTTCCCTCACTTCCTGTTGTGGCTCTGGACAGTAAGTGAAGGGAAGCCTCCCCTATGGGACACAGTTGGCAAAAAAAACCTGACAGAGTTATAGGCCTCCCTTCTATCCTAAATGAAAAATGTTTTGACTTTAGTAATACTTTAGCTTGGTGAATAACATGCACCTTAAGCTGTCATTTGTACTGGTGCTATGGATAGAGGGCCTGCCTCAGTTTTGAGGTGTACCCAATGTGGAAACTTGCCTGACACCACCCACCCCCAGAGCTTGGCCCCTGAGACACCAGGGGGGGTCGAATTACGATTTGCCAGGGGTCGCCAAGTGGCTCTCGGCCGTCGGGAGAGAAACACTTTCTCCCGGAAAGGTCGGGACCTTTCTCTGCTCTGTTTTTGTTTTTTTAAATCGGGGGCCGCCGTAAGTCAGAAAAAAAAACCCACCATAGGAATGCATAGCTAGATTCCTATTGGCTATTTCACTTTGCAAAAGTGATGCTGCCAATCAGCAGAGGGGGACCTGAAGTTCTCCATCAGGTCCCCTTCTAGTGATTGACAGCAGCAGAGGGCGGGTGCAATATGTATGTATTCAAGCAAAAAAATATGTAAAACACACCTCTAGTTATGCATTCCATTTTCCCAGTCCGCAGCTGCAGAGATTGGGAAATGTCTCAGTACCTGTGATTGGCACTGCGCGCTGTCAGCTTCCTGGCGGGCTCGGCACGTGGAGCTGCGAACACGCCCGAGCCCATCCCTATCAGTGACAGTACTGCGGAGTATGTACCTCATACGTTATATAGCCACACACTTTAAATCTAATTCTTCCAGTTCCAGCTTCAGAGCCCGGTCCTGTCTTTGCCTATAGCAGTGGTTCTCAATCTGTGGGTCGCTGTGCAAGGTGAGTCCTCCTCAGCTCTCTCCTAGCGCAGCAGTGTCAGTTCCCCTGCCACACCTCCAGATGTCGCTGCAGCAGCCGCGTCATCCCTAAATGTTACCTTTGGGGGTCACCACAACTTGGCAAATGTTACCAAGGGGTCCCGGCCCTAGAAAGGTTGAGAACCACTGGGCTAGAGTGTCTGTGACAAATCCATGCAATTCTCAACAGCATAATGTGAAATGTTCAATGAAAAGCAAAAAATGGGAATGTATGATAGTGAATGAATTTCCCAATCTAGGAATCCACCTTTAAAGACTGGATTAAATTTGCTTTTATTTCATCACTTTCTTTATGATAAATTTTAATATTTTTATAATCATTTTGTTATTTCAGTTTCTGTGGTTAATGTTGTTTAACACTAATTTAAATTCTGTTTAACACAACTAAGCAGGGTCTTCCCTCTCCTAACCGACTTACATTCCCCAGGTGACTCTTCTCTCCCCATTTCAATGGGAATTTCCTTAATCAGTAAAAGCTGATCAATACGACCTGAAATAAAGGATGGGCGCCATTAGCCATTCTAACCAAGCTGGCATCTGGCAGAAACAGACCCACATTATGCCACTTTGATCTATTTAATTGAAAATGAGCTCACAGAATTACCAAATGAAGATTAAATTCTCTAAGAATTCATTACAGAAAATGGCACAACAAGGGTATAAATCACACAGTTAAATCTTATTCTGCATCATTTATAGAAAAACAGAATCTGTGCTCTAAAATTTCACACCAAACCGGTTAATGTATTTAATTATAGCTAAAAACCACTGAGTATATTAGGGTTAGTATAGAAAAGGTATAACGCCTGCTTAATAGCTGTTTCCCATATTATACACAAGTTTTATCAAAATGGGTGTGGAACCTTATTCTGAAGTTATAGGAAGTGTGATACTTAAAGTGACAGTCCATTAAAAATGGGTAAGTTTAGAAAACTTTTTATGTTTACTGTACAGTATATTAATTTAGGAGAAATGGTTTCTCTTTCCCTTCAGACATACCTTCTATATAGTTTTTGTTGACAATTTAGGATTTCCGATTCCTGGGGTGGTTGAAATTAGTAAAAAAAGCTTTGTACATTAGTTTGGATTTGTGTTGAGTAAAGGTTAGTGTCCCCAATTTACATTTTAAGGCATTGTTCTCATGGACTTTAGCTTGTATGAGAGTATTGTGTACAGCGAGGTTATGTGAAGATTTCAGCAAGCTGTTGCAAAGCATTTGCGTAGCTTTAAGCAAGCTTTATGCAGCTTTGTTGAAGCCTTCAAAGAACTTTAAATGGTGCTGACGTTCACTTTAAACAAGCTGCTAGCAGCTTTTCAACAAGCTTCAAGTTGTGCTGAAGCTTATTTCACTCCAATTAATACCTTTCAAAAGTTCTGCAAATGCTTTCTAAAAGCATGCTGTACACACTGCTCTCTACACGTGGAAGCCCATATAAACAAGGCCTTAAGGAAACGCGTAGGCTGCTGCTCATGACCTTCTGAAAAAGATGTCTGTATCCAGCTACAATACTGTCTGAGACAATGATCTGAAAAAAGCATGTAGGAAGCTGGGCAACAGTGAATCTAATAGACCTGATTTACTAAAAGGGAGCACAAAAAGGTAGGGACAAATACTAACAGGTATGCTTCAGTTGCAAGTTAATATCAGCATGCAGATGCTTGCGGACCCAGCTATTGCAAACTGATCTGGTAAAGCATTCAATCCTGTTCAATGGATAGCTTGCAGTCCCCATTTTTAGCCTGCATTGAGCATTCAAATAAGACTGGTATCTACCTAATATACGGAAATTTAGATTAGAGAATGCTTGTGCTATTATACTGCCTTAAAAATACCCAAATAAATCTATAATATGACAAGCACCACGATTGCTAAGGTATTGAAAGCATGTGTGCCAGACATAGGAGCAGCTCCAACAAAATCCTGTTAACCATGGTACAATTTAGGCAGTGTGAGAATGGG